CGGGAGGGGGAGAGGGGAAGAGAACAGTTCAAGCGGTGCTCAAAGGGGTACTCAACTAATTATGTCTGAGAGCGTACCATAACAATGTCTACGAAGATTTATAACAAAGTAAAGCGCGCGCTCTGATTGGTCAATTTAGCGTCCCCCATTTGCCCATGGGTGTACGCTGCTGACGTGAGCAAATGCAAAGACTATTTTTCCGCGCGCGCTTGTTTTTTCTGGTCACGTAAGATTTGTTAAATAAAAGGGAACTCTTTAGCTACAATGTATCAATGTTATGTTAGAAAACAAATGGTAAACACCACAGCGTACACTATTGAGTTATGGATGCACTTGGGATGTTTGCTAGGCACTCAAGAAGCTAGAGTCGCTCTCGGCTATCCTCTCGGGTGACTCTTACGCTTCTTTTTGCTTAGCAGCCTCCCGCGTGCATCCATAACTCAACAGTTTACGCTGTGTTGTTTACCATTTGTTAATTATCAACTAAGATCCTTTCATACAATCTATTGAGAATGAAGAGCATACTTAATGAGGCGTTCGTACTAAACACACCCAGCAACAATACTATGCGGGCGGCGAGAAAATAAATTTAAAATTCGCGTCAGAAGGGTTTAATTAAAAGTAGGTCTACATTGCGTATATTTTAAAAAATTGCAACGATATCTCAATAGGGACTGAATCATGTTGAATTGTTGTGATGAATTACATTACCTTTCATTAGCCTCGAAAACTGTATGTATTGAACGCATTTGTAATTATTTCTTCACAGAGACTTGAGTAACAACAAGCTGAACCACTTCCCATCGGATGTTTTCAGGAACAATACCCATCTGAGGCGGCTGTAAGCTGATGTTAAACAAATCCCTCTATTGTGTATATTTCACTTAAGCGCAACGATATCGTAACAGGGTGGACTATCAGTGATGTGTTGAATAATAAATAAACAAGTTTGTTGGTTGTTTTCATAACCTTTTGCCCAAAAAGGCTTTAATTCTTTTTTGGGCGTAGAAATATTTAACGCTAGAAGAAGGTGTACAGTATTGAATCAGAAAAAACTTTATTGAGATTTTGTCGTTATTTAACCTCAAGTGTAAGTATGAAGAAATAAAGGCTGATAGTTTGGAAAGAAACTGTTTGGGACTGCGTCGGTGGGGGTAACGAAATAATTTAGATATATCAACAAAGTTCAAATGGTAAATTGGCCACCGCAACGATTACAAAAGCTAAATATATCTAAATTAAGTATGAAGAAAGTTGTATTAAAACAAATAGTGAAAAAAATCGGATAGACTAGAATATGGAAGTAGCCTTATTAAGCACAAACTTTCTTTTTACTCCGCTGTGGGCAGCTCTATGTAAGAATAATCCAACTCATCCTCCCCTTGAGAGATTAAAACCACGAAGAATGCTCTTCCCTAAAATATGCAATGTTTGCCTTATACAACCGACCAATTCTTTCAAGAAGAATGTGATACAGATTGTATTTCCTGTCCATACCTTGCGATATAGGCCTGAACGTAGCATGTGATTATGCGCCTTCACAAGTGAACAGGTTTTCTGTAATCTGAAACAATTTATTAAGACATTTTGTGTGATCAATCCAACATTTCCCCCTCCAAACCTTTCTTGTTAATTTACCCACCCTACATCCTCTAGTCAGTGTTGCCCGGCTTATTACGAAAACGGAAGTACACAACAGTGTGCAATGTCATAATGGGTGATAGAAGGAGGGAGAAAAAGAATAAAAAAAAGCTAATCAAAAACAAAAAAATTAAAAACGAAGAGTACAAAAAGAAAAAAGAAAAAAAAATTGCGTGACTCAATTAATTTTGTTCCAAATCATAGCGTATTGTCCTCTTTTGGGACTTTAGATGTCAAACCAAAAACGAAACATGAGTTCTTAGGCAACATTAGTTTAATAACGTGCATATTCTAGCCCCCCATAACAGTACGTAAGAAAAACAAAATACAATTTTTCAAGTATACTTTATTCCCTGAACTTTGTTCTCGAATATCATGCAATTGACTTTCCATTTACTTATTTTTGGTTGGGAGTTGAACAACAACCAGTTGAAGAAATTACCATCAGGCATTTTCAGTAACAATACCCAGCTGAGAGGGCTGTAAGTCTAAAGCCTTTCATATTTGTGCAAGCAACGCGTCTAATGCATATCAAATTTAATTTGTGAAAATACCAGCAGATCAGGGAAACAATTTATTAGCTACAAACTAAAGCATTTACCACAGAAAATTGTGGGGGAGGGGTGGAGGGGGTGAGGAGTACGTGAAATGCACTCTCTTTTTCAAAGAACATTATTCAAATGCTCTTTGAAAAAAAGACTCACTACTTATGCTCCCCCACGAGCCCCAAGAGTACTTTTTCTCCGAATTTACGTCGCTAGGTTCTTAACTTACCATTACTGGGAAGCACCTTATTGCGAGGAATTGCTAAGCTACCTCGTGTTCTTTCAGAGACAATTACTGGGTTTTTTCTGCCTTTATTTCTCAGAGGTAGAGAAAATGCCACTTGAGAAAGCAGGAACGCCGTGTTGATTCACATCTCCACTTTTGATTGCCGCTGTCAAGTTAGACTTTTTCGATGAAATGACAACTAACTCTGAAAAAATGTACATAAAATATGAAATTCACTGGCATTTTTTTTCATGGAGGGGGGGGGAGGGGAGGTTCCATCAGCTTTAGATACCGGTTCCAATGAAACAAAAATCTGAAATAATGGGTTTAATTGTCCATTTGAAAATAACTATTTGATGCAGAATTTTGCTGCGAACAGTCACTTCCCATTTAAAGTAACCCCCCCCTCCCCCCAAAAAAAGAAAAAAGCAAATCTTTAAGGCTAATCTCGTACAAGATGACGTCTCAAAACAAAATTAAGATTTTCCATTATGACCAAACCTAAAGGCTGACGAGAAATCCTCAGTAACAAGCAGTTGAATGCAATCTTTCACAAAACAATCGAGACATTCTGTATTGTGAATTCAATATTTTTTTTCCTTTCCTGTCTATTTTGGTAATTACCATGCTATTCCATATCGCCTCCTGTCAGCTTCACTAGGTCCAGACAACCCATTATTTGAGCGTCGCGATCGTTTAAAAATAAACAAAACGGTAAATGTGACCAACGATGTTTTCAATGAAAAGAACACGTATTTACGAACGGTCTGAAGTACTGTTTTTCTGATTCTGTCGCGAACTAAATTTTTGGGTAATCTGTGTTTTTTTTCTTTTTCGTTATTCCACTCATTTAGGCGGACAAAAAAAAGATAGAAAAATTGAGAAGGTAAAATCGCACCTTAATACATGGCGTGGAGTTATATCAAGTTAATCCAGCGAAAGAACAAGGCCTTTTCTTCAAAAAACTCCAATAAAATTTTAGGACCCCAAACAAGTGACGTATAGAGGTCAAAATACGCCATTCCTTGTCACGCAGTTAGAGGTGCGTTGAGAAGACATCAGGCTGTTTTGGGGGCGAAAAATCGTCTCTACTCTGGATGGAGAGCTAATTTAGGTCAACTTCTGTCGTTTTTGCTGTTCGGGTTATTCGGAACCACAAATCCTGGGCCACAATTCCAATAGCACGCGTCTTTACCACAAACACTGGAATTCTTCCTTTGTAATTCTTGCTCACTTTTACCAATTTTTAATTACTCGGGCGGGTTATTTATCTCGTCACGCTTGACGGACTAAGTAAAAGAGGGGGCAGCTTGTAGTGTAACAGGGTTACCGGTGATAAATCTTCGGTTCGATTTACGGAATACGGCCCCCATAATTTCGTATCTCGTTTCACTTGGTTAGTCATCTTTTTGTCCTCTTTTTTTTTTTGTTCAAACTGATGAGTTCAGTAAGGGATCTAGTCTTTCCCGACAGTTACTTTTCTTCTGGAGAATTCTAAGACATCATTTTGTTTAACAAAAAGCAGTCTCCTCTTCAAGAAAAGACAGAAGACATCGTTTAAGGAGAGGAGAAGTTGCATCCATTGACAAAAAACACGCCGATTTTTTTTTTTTTGGAGTTGAAGGATGCGTGAGTACTTTTCAGCACCACTGCAACGTGTAG